TAATATGTTTGCCCTTTAATGAATAGAGTAAGGAAAATTTAATTGGATGGCATTATACTGCTTATTTTTACCAAATTTATCTCCTCACTAGGTCTACATTTTGCTCTTATGAAATATCCTAACATTTATTTCAGTCTACTTTACAAAGTTGAATATTATAAGGTGATCATGAAGATTAGATCAAGTAGTACACATTATCATGAATCAACCTCATTACGTCTATCCGCAGTGTGTTTTTCAAAGTGTGGTCCTCTGACCATCATCACAAGCATAATCTGTTATAAATGCATATTTTGAGACTCCAATCAGACATTCTGAGTCAAGGTCTCAGCAATCAGTGTTGTTCAAGGCCTCTTGAAGACTCAGATGCACATTACTGTTAGAAAACTACTCCTCTAACCGATCCTACCTTGATAGCTTTACATTATTAGTAGCCATTAGATGTTGTTTCAAAGATATTCTTTGTTACTTAAGAACAAAGAGCAGAGAGCACTGTAGTAATTGTTAGGAGGATATTTTATTAAACCTACATAGTTGAGTAACAAGCATGTAAATATTAATACAAATTATGGTTTGTTAATAAATATCTATAAAGTAAGTAAAAGTGATTTTTCACAATCACCAGGAATATAAGAAATTTCTACCCATTGACATGTAGCTGCTATGTGTCCTGCACTTATTTAAACATGACTGCTTTTTAGCAATAACATTTTTTAAGGTCATTTTTTTTTCTGTGAAGTTAAAAATGGAACTCAATTTCATTGACAAGTTCCCTGCCTATCGAATTATTGTTGATGACACTCTTTTTTTGGAACTTGAGCAGTCTTTGAAGCATCTTTCTGACTTAAATGTTATCTTCAAAGTGTCAAGGATAAAAAAATAAGATCACAGTAAACAAGTTTCCATAGGAGATTGAATTTTTATAGTTTAGAAAGTATTTAGAAGTTAAAGATAAAATGTCTTATTAACAGGGAATTGCTAAATCTAATTAAACATCATTATTTTAGACACTACTAGTTCAGAAAAGTTCATATCTGAAGTAGAAATATAAATTTCTACTATTGCTCAAGGAAAAAAAATTAGCAATCAAATTAATGTATGAGAAAGTAGAAACATTAAGCTAATTAAGAAAAATGGTTTTAAAGTTGTAATGGCATCCTTTTTTCCATTAATTATGAATAATCTATTAATAATGAATGATATCTATTAGTACTTGGACAATAAAGGCACATATAATCTTCAATATCTATAGCATACTAGTATATATGATTGAAAGGATAAAGCTACATTGTTAAAACTATGCTGCCGTTTGGATTTTTAAATAATTTAGATCACTTTTTCCTGTTTTATTCTCTTCTCTTTTCCTTCTAATTGTGCCTTCACCAGCTCTTGCCCTCCTACACTTCTTCCAATTTCCACTTCATTTGACCTCTTGTTCTCTTTAGATTCCACTATTTCAGTGTTCTGCTTCCTGCCCCCCACTTGTCAACATTCTAAGATTTAAGTTCTTGCTCTCCATTCTCTTTTCCTTCACCTTTGGTTCTCAACCACTGTCTCTAGGTTTGGCTTCTGGTTTTTTGTATTATTCCTGTTCTCTAACTGGTGAGATCAAACCTGCAAGGATGTAAGGCGAATTGGAAGGTAGAAGCACAGAGAGAATTGACATGTATTGACTATCTACTCTGTGATAGGTGATTTACTTATATCATTTGCTTCTCATAAGATGTAGATATGTTTTACAATTATATTCATTTTATTCATAAGTACACTAAAGCTCAGAAAAGTTAAACATTTTGTTGTAATGCACAGAACAATTAGGTGATAAAGCCAAGTTTCAAGTATATTGGTTCATTTACTCATTAATTCTTTTATTCAACAAAAATTTATTGAATACATATAGTATATGTTGGATATTGTGCTAGGTGCTGCAATATAGCCAGCCCTTATTCTCATCTACCTTAAATATGTAGTGGCATTGTCTGATCTCACAGATGATGATTTTACTGCTATACCAAACAGCTTAAGAGGAAAAAGAGCCCTAGACAGTTTGGCTTGGTGGGTAGAGCGTCGGCCTGCGGATTGAAGGGTCCCAGGTTTGATTCCGGTCAAGGGCATGTACCTTGGTTACGAGCACATACCCAGTAGGGCGTGTGCAGGAGGCAGCTGATCGATGTTTCTAACTCTCTATCTCTCTCCCTTCCTCCCTGTAAAAAATCAATAAAATATATTTTTAAAAAAGAGGAAAAAGAAAAAAGAAATAGAAGGTTCTGATGGTTCATAGAAAAGATGTATTTGACTAGATGTAAGAAAGACCATATTTGGGCATTACTTAGGGATACTCTATTGAAAAGTTGCTTTTTGTCTAGTCCTAGAGAAAGTCTGACGATCTCCCCATCACTACCGTGAGCGCCGGTGCCTTTTAGTGACATCACCATAGTATATAATTTCCTTTTCTGTTCTGTTCTAAAATATACAAAAATTGTGTCTATAAGCCCAAATTCTCTAAAACAGCAGTTCTCAACCTGTGGGTCACGACCCCTTTGGGGGTCGAACAACCCTTTCACAGGGGTCACCTAAGACCATCGGAAAACACATATATAATTACATATTATTTTGTGATTAATCACTATGCTTTAATTATGTTCAATTTGTAACAATGAAATTGGGGGTCACCACAACATGAGGAACTGTATTAAATGATCACGGCATTAGGAAGGTTGAGAACCACTGCTCTAAAAAGTCTTCAGAAAGAATTAACTGTCCTCCCTAAATTATGTTTGGAAAAAGATGAAGACCTTTGTATAAAAAATTCATTAATCTATCCATCTATCATTCATATATTTATTAATACACTAAAAATAATTAAGATGGTTTATCCAAACACATAGAACACAACTTCTAACAAGATAAATGTGAAAAAATAGGGCAAGGAACAATAAGATGCAATTCGGTTGTGTTCAGGAAGCATATTAAAACAGTATCCACAAATTTTCCTCTTTTCTAAAGGATAACTTAATTCACAAGCATCATAATTTAAAAACAAACTAGTAGCGCAGAAAAAGACCCATTCTTAGTTGTGACACTTAAGAGGAAATTTCTCTATAGATTCTCTTAAATAGGATCACAATGCAATGTAGTGAACAGTGGCCTCAGATACTTTGTGATGTAAGTATGAGTCGCACTGAGCCATTTCATTGGCTTCAATTGCATGCCACAAAAGCAAAGTCCAGTAAAATGATTCTTTGAAAAGTGAGATGAGGCTATCAAGGTAAACCACTGTGATCTGACCAAATTCAATTGCATATTTTAAGAGTATGTAGAAAATTTAATGACTTGCATATTTTTTAGGTAATTCTCAAATATAATTTGCCTATTGAGTTTTTTATGTACCAGGTAACAGTGAGTTTACACAAACTCTTATAAGTTTGTTTTCATTAGTGCAACATCAATGCATAGAATACAACCTAGTACATAGCTGTTTAATAACTAATGTGGAGATGGATAAGTGCTGTGCTTTAAAGTATTTGTTTAAATGAAAGACTTCTCTCAGCTACACGTTGGTATTTTCCCTTATCTTTAAATAAACTATGCTACTGTACTTTGGAATACATCCTTATAACATGGAAATAGTGTTTCTTCTCAAGAGACCTCAAAATCATACCAGACAGATTGAATTTGGAAAACAGAAGATAGATTCTGATAATGCTAGCTTGACAATTTTTAGCTATACATTTAAATGAAAGTAATTAACTTCTAAATTTAGGAATTTAAGAATTTCCTTTCTCCTATCTGTTGACCCTCTATTTTTAAAGCACAATTTATTGAAAAATATTTTGGTATATTAGTTTCCTTTAAATGTCTGCCATTGTAAAGTATTGAATTATGCTGGGATTCAGTAGACTAGTAGATGACATCAATTCTAGTCGTCCTTTATTCTGTATAGTTATAAGGGATTAACTAACAATTAATCTTAAAAGTTGACTGACATCTCTAACACATACTCGGTGCATATTAACTGCTTTGCCCAGTCCTCATTCTACATTTTTCCCAGAGCTACAATCTAAGACTATCTCTCTACTTCTAATGAAATATTGAAATATAAACCTTTCTCCATAATTTACTTTTTATTGCATTTGCATTTTTCTTATTTATTGGAACACTTTGTTTTGCAAGTTTCACTTTTGTACTGCCCCCAAGTATTGTAAGCTATATTTATAAAAACAGAGGATTAGGAATTAATTAAATCATATATTTCACTCTCAAGTTTTAACCTAAGTCATATCTTTACCATCACAGAATAATATATACCTAATTTGATTTACCTTTAGAAAATGAAATATTCCTATCTCCTTCATTAGCTTATTCCAGGTTTAAACACACTTGTCTTAAAAATGTTCTATCTTAAAACTTGTTATATAAATAAAGCCTATCACTTTTATTATTTTCAAAGTAGATGGTAATTCATATTGAAGATATGGAACCTAGAGGGTTTTTTTCTACCCAATACATGGGAAAAGTTGACTGATGACTTCTTGAGTTCCTTTTAATTATATCATAAAAGTACAGAGCTAGGAGAGATACAAAATGATCGCAGGGCTTCAGGGAGGGACTAATTATTTTAAGAGTAATAGACAAAAATAAATTTACCCAAATTTCTTACCCTTAGAAATCTATTGAGTCCTTATAGCAATCTGGGACTTTCTCTTAAAATTTAGGTTATTAGGCGAGATGAGACTTTTATCAAATACTTCAGAATTGTAAGATATGAGAAAGGTCTGCTAATGTAAAAGTTCCCTGGATGTCCTGGTCCTCGGCTTTTATTCAGTGGTCCCAAAGAACTGAGTCTTGCTGCCTTAAAAAAAAAAAAAAAAGTCTGAAGAACTACAAAGTGTGGTTTAGGAAAAGCATGGTTTATACTTACATTGAAGTTAATTTTACTACTCTGCATTCCTTCTTTTTGGCTAGTTTCACTCAGTCTGCTATTTAATCTTTAATTACAGGCCACAAAAGAAGTAATAGAACGGGAAGCACCAGGGATGGCCCTGGCAATGCTGATGGGATCACTTAATGTTACACCTCTGGGCATGCTCTCTAGGTAAGAAAGTCACCAAAATGTTGCAAATAAAATTAATTCCATACTATTAATCACTACAATAGACTGATAAACCCAAGAAACTTGAGTTATAACAATTAAGTTTGCCCCATATATTCCCGAGAATTAAGTCTTAGTTTCCTGTCCAGTCAAATATTGGACATTAGTTTCTTTCAAGATTTTTCTTTTTGCATATTTAAAGTTTTAGAAAGTACTATATTACTGCTAAAAGTTGTCAATCCTAACACAGAGAAGAGTCCAGTTTATTAAGATGTAAAACTATTCTTTTTTGTGATTATCTGCAATCATTAATTAATAGTCATTAATTGCATTCAAATACTAATTTGATAAAACTAAACAGTAGAATTTCTAAAATTAAGTTGTTCTCACAAGTTACTAACTTTTATTCCAATTTGTAATTAGATTTATTGATATCTGGTCATGAAAAAAGCTCAATTAATAGTATATTATTATTTTATTAAATTAGTGTATTTAAAACTATGCTTTTGCTGACATAGATGTTGACATCCATCGCAATCTAATGCAGTGATGGCGAACCTATGACACGCGTGTCAGAGGTGACACACGAACTCATTTTTGGGTTGATTTTTCTTTGTTAAATGGCATTTAAATATATAAAATAAATATCAAAATTATAAGTCTCTGTTTTACTATGGTTGCAAATATCAAAAAATTTCTATATGTGACATGGCACCAGAGTTAAGTTAGGGTTTTTCAAAATGCTGACACGCCGAGCTCAAAAGGTTAGCCATCACTGATCTAATGGTTTATTTATTTATTATTTTAGCAACCCTTAGATTAAAATCTTCTTTAATGAGGACAACATATAACATATCATTTAAGTTAAAGACAGAAGTATAAATTAGTGAGAGTCTGTTGATTTAATGATTTTATTAAATAGACAGTTGATCTCAGAGCAACCTAAAAATACACAGCAACTTTATAATATAAGCATATCACAATCATTTATAGCCATTTATTGACCCTATGTGCAATATGAATATATAAGTAAATATATGCATTTAATGCTTAGATACAATGCCCTTTCTTTTACTTCGACTAAGTTTATATCCCATGAAGAGAAGCCACTTGAAAATAACTAAAAGGAAATATGAATGGGTCATCAGATACTGTATTCCCTTTGCTATCACAAGTACTATATGGGAATATTTTAGTAAGAGCAAAAATAGAATTAAAGTAGAATGATAGAGATTTTAAACTTAAAAGACCATGCTGATCTTTAAGGAACTTATATTAACTCTTTTATTCTGTTGGGGATTTTTTTTTTTTTTAGCCTTTACTTATATTACTATAGATATGAGGTCTAGAGTCAAATTTGATCCCTTTTCTCTATGGAATTAAGTGTAGTTATCTGTGAACATATAACTCTTTCTTGGAATAAAAGGAATATAGTTAAAGAATTAAACTTCATCTCTTGTTAATTCTTTTATAATGTAAATTTTATTTTGGCAGGCATAGTAATACTCTATTTGACAGGCCCATATTAACCATTAGGGATACTAAGAATAGAAAAAAATATGTAAGGCCTTGTCCTTAATGATCCCACAGTTAACCTGGAGAACTTGTTCTTTGCAACGGTTAAGGTAATCCTTAAAATTTTCTATAGATTTCTTGAGCCAGTATAGAAATATTACTTTTTTTCTTATTGAAAGATTTTTCTGGATTAATTCCTTTTCCATCTTTTGAATCCACTGGACTGAGCACTGGACTGCTAAGTAAGTGGAAAACTAATCAACAGGAGCTGATTCTAAGTACTTTGTATAAGGTCATCATCATTATGCTGTGGACTTTGAAAATTAAAACATATACACATCAGGGTAACAAATTCTTCTGACTTTTCTTTCTGTTCATTGCCGACTTAACTGAGAGTTTCCACAGATTTGAAACAGTTAATAGATTTGAAACAGTTCTACATGAGTGGAAAAGGAAATTGTAGAATATTCCCATGAATGTTCATTTTTGGTGCTTTTTAAAGCCTTTTTTAATTCCTATTTTTAAAACAGCCATAATTAGATTGATGCTTCCTTTTGATAGCATTTTTACCTTGTATGTACTTTGGACTTTGCATATAATTCTATTATAACACATGCTATATTTTAATTATTTACAAACAGTCCTCGGGTTACATCAGACTCGACGTATGTTGTTTCATGGTTACATCGCCATCTCCCATTTATTTGTAAAAAAAAAATGTTCTGTCATTTCGACATATGTTCATATGTGCTTTATGTTTTTTATTATTTATTTACCACAAGTAAAGGTCAGGAATTGTTATCTTTCTTTTAAATATTTTTTACTGTTTCACTTCATTACTGCTATGTATGTGCTCCATGTGAGTGACGTAGGTGCTTATGTAGGTGGGTTCCAACTTACGGCGAAAATCACATTACATCCGTAGGAACGCATCTCCGACGTAGCCCGAGGACCTACTGTACTTTCTTGTCTGTATTACCTAATTTGTATAAAACTCTCAAGAACAGGAGCTTTGTCTTATTCATTTTTACATCCTCACCCTACAAAACCACTTTTAACACATAGTAAGTACTCAAAAATTATTCATTGTTAAGGTTATTTTTATTGATAAATCAATACATCCTAATTCTAATAGAATTTTTTTCAAGGTAATCTGTCAAGTTGGTGCCTTGCATTTCTGTTTTTATCTCTAGAGAGCAGAATTAAATAAAAATACCTTTCAGAATCACCAAATCTATTCCAAATTGTTTTTATCTATTTGATTACTTGATATACTATAGGTTTTCTGTACAAGAAAGTTGGAAGATAGTATCAAGTACGTATTAGTTAAGAGCATCATCTCTGAAGGCAGATGGCTGGCTTGGGTTCTATTCAGGCTCTAATACTTACTAGCTACTTAACATCTGTTTTGTTTTCTTATCTGTATAATGAGGATGTTAATAGTACCAGTGTCCTTGAATTAAGTGAGTGAGTCTATGTAAAGTATTTAAAACAACAACTGATATATAAGTCTTATTTAAGTGTTAATCATTGTTGTTGTATTTTTATTGGTTGGGTGTTCTAGTTCTTAAACAAGTCTGTTGGAAATACCTTCTAATAGCTTTCTTTCATTTGAAAATGCCTTTATTTTACCTTTATTCCTGAAGGATATTGTCACTAGATGTAGTATTCTGGATTGACAGCTCTTTTTTTCAGCACATTAAAAAAAAAGTTTCACTGTTTCCTGCCTCCATGATTCCTAACAAAACTTAATTGATAAGGAAAGTTATTGCTGTAAATGCTTACATTTAAAAAGAAAAGTCTCAAAACAACCACCTAACATTGTAGCTTAAGGAACTAAAGAAAGAAGAATGAACAAAACCCAAAACTAGAAGAAAAAAGAAAATAATAAAGATTAAAGCGGAAATAAATAAAATAGCAAATGGAAAAAGCAATACAGAAAAATTAACTAAATCAAATATTGTTTCTTTAAAAAGATCAACAAAATTGGATAATCTAGATGAAATGGACAAATTCCTACAAACACAAAGCCTAGTAGATTGAATCACAAAGGAATAGAAAATCCAAATAGATCTGTAACTAGTAAGAAGACTGAATCAGTAATCAAAAACCTACCTACAAATAAAATGCTTGTATCCAACGGCTTCACTAATAAGTCTACCAAACATTAAGAAATAATGGATACCAATCCTTCTCAAACTCTTCAAAAAAAATTGAAGAGAAGGGAACACTTCCTAACTAATTCTATGAGGGCAGCACTACCCTATACCAAGGAAAGACAAAAAAAACTTCAAGAAAACAGCAGACCAATATTCTTTATGAACATTGATGCAAAAATATTCAACAATATACTAGCAAACCAAATTCAGCAGCATATTGAAAGAATTATGCACCATGATGAAGTGGGATTTATATCTAGAATGCAAGAATAGTTCTTCATACAAAAAAAACCCACAAAACAGAACAATCAATATACCATACTAACAAAATAAAGGATTAAAAACACTGAGTAGCTCAGTTGATACAAAAAAAATTATTTGACAAAATTCAGCATGCATTCATGTTAATAACACTTAATCAGAAATTGAAGGAAACTACCTTAACAGAATAAAGGCCTTATATTAAAAAACACACAGAAAATATCATACTCAATGGTGAAAGACTGAATGCTCTTTCTCTAAAATAGGAACAAGACCAGGATGCCAATTTTTGCCACTTAAAAAAAAAAAAAAAAAAAAGAAGCTATTGGAAGTTGTAGTTGGAGCATTAGGCAAAAATAAATTAATCAGTTAATTAATGAAATTCCAAATTGGGAAGAAAGAATTGAAGTTATTCCTGTTTGACTTAATCTTCTATGTAACAAAAACCCTAAAGATTATACACACACAGCCCATTAGAACTAAGAATTATATTCAGCCAAGCTTAAGATACATAATCAACATGCATTTGATCAACATGCAGTTGTGTTTCTATACATTAACAATAGCATTTAAAAGAATAAAATTCTTACTCATTATCTTGATCAAGGAGGTGAAAGACTTGTACACTGAAAACTACCAAACATTGCTGAAAGAAATGAAAGACTTAATTAAATGGAAATCCATCCCAGGTTTATGGATTGGAAAATTTAATTATGAAAATGTCATTACTACCCAAAGTAATCTACAGATGTAATGCAGTCCTATCAAAATACACATAGCAACATCCTTTTGCAGAAATAGAAAATTTTATTCTAAAATTTATAGAAAATCTCAAGGGACCCCAAATAGCCAAAACAATATTGAAAAAGAGCAATAAAGTAGGAGGACTCTCTCTCCCTGATATCAAACTTATTAAAAAGCTACAGTAATTAAAACTGTGGTACTGGCATTAAGACAGACTTTTTTAAACCAATGGAATAGAATAGAGAGGTCAAACCTGGCTGGTGTTGCTCAGTTGGTTGAGCAGTGTCCCATGCACCAAAAGGTTACTAGTTTGTTTCTCAGTCA